AATTTTATATTAATGGACAAAAAAGTGTGTGGGTGATCCTACGACCACGTGACAAGGTCGCATGGCAAAGTTGCATGAATCATATGTGATTTTTGTACATGATGTTGAAGAAAAGTCACATGTGATTTGTCATTCTCTTATTTTTCTAGATAAGTATCATTTTTGTATAAACCTTACTATATATATATATAGAGAGAGAGAGAGAGAGAGAGATGAACGTTCAAATAAAAACCACTCAATTTGTACAAACTGTGAAAACCACATTCAACCAATCATAATTTTTCATTTTTTTTGTAATTATAAGCGGTTGATTAACCATTTTTATTGTGAATGGTGTTAATCATTGATATTATCATCTTCATTATTTTAATTTTAGAGAAATACATGAAACAGTTTCATTAAAATTTCATTAAATATTATGTGAAACAATTTCATAACCATATATGAAACAAATTCATCAAAAAAAGTATTATATGAAACAATTTCACAAAATTAAACAATTTCATGAATTTTTTATTCATAAGATTAAACAATGAAATCGACGTATGATGATGGTTTGTACAGTTTGTACAAATGAGGGTGGTTTTCATTTGATCGCCCATCTATATATATATATATATATATATATATATATATATATATATATCTATGTGTGTGTGTCTATATATATATATAAGAGGTTTACTTTGCAAACCACGTTATTTGTACAAATCTCATTCAATCAATCATAGTTTTTCATTTTTTTTGTAATTATGAGAGGTTGATTAAAGCCTCGATCTAGTTCATCGATCCAGATCCTTGGTCTGGATTTATCTTCTATTTTATGTATGGATTCTGAGTTTAATCTTCTGTTTCATTTTTGGATTCATTTCTAGACATATTGATCAATGATTCATCAATGGATTCATCGTCTATTTCATCTCTGTCTCATTATTATTTGATTCTTTTATGGACTTATTCATCAATGGATTCATTTTCAGACTTCTTTATCAATGATTCATCAAATGGGTTCATCTCCATTACCACTCTTGAAATTTGAAAATGCATGCCCCTGCCCTGCCATGAAATCATTTGGTGGAACATGATTTCAATGAATCTGACTTCCCAAGTTTTTTCCCTTTTAATTCTCTTAATGAATTTCCTTTAACGTCTTCTTTTTAATTTTAATGTCATTGCATTCATCAGAATGATTATTTCATAAATTAACAGTCTCATCCCGTAGCATGTCAAATATGAAATTTTGAACAGGGCGGGGGTTCAAATTTACATGTGTTTAAGATCTTTTTATCGACTTGTGTAAAACTATAGTCGAAATTATTTAGATTCAAACCATTATATATTTGGTTTTAGATTCAAATTATTAATGGTTTAGGTTTAGCCTATTTTTATTCTTAACATATATTCTCTGTCATCTTATTTATGCAATGTAATCAAAAGTTCTGGATGTAGTAAGACATCCAAAAAGATTGGAAAATTAATATGATGTGGGTTTGTAAAGATTGTAAAATTTAATGGGATTGCAAATAAAACCGATTTAAGTAGTTATTTAAAGATAAGGACAATTATCAAATAACTATCAGCAGATAATATCAAATGGTTAATATACGGAAGTTCGGAAGACGATTTTACCTTTGAATCCAAGTCTTAGCTCGGAATTTGAAATTCATAAATCTTCAAAATAGAAGTTCAACATTGTCTTAATGTTCAACCTTGAATCTTCGTATATCTTCGTATATCTCAAGTCAATTTCAATTACACCAAAATGTTTAATGAAACAAAAGTCACGTCAGAATGTTTAATGACACTAAAATCACCGACATATCATCTCTGACAGTAGAGGGAAGATGATGAAAAAAAAGTGAAAGCAGATAGGCATCAAGATTATGTTTTGACACAAGTTCTCTCGATCTCCTTTCCATCACCATGAGGTTCATCAATCAACATCACACAGTCTTTGATAACGCATCGTGATTCTGAGTCTCAATATATGTTTATAAATCAAAATTCATCTCCAAGTCCTTGTCACGTAAACTGCCTACGTGTCATTTAAAAAATATCTGCAACTTACAAATTTTCAGTTAAAATATAGCCTAAATCGAACACAGTTCATAGCGTTTGCTTTTATCTTAAAATTAATAAACTTTTAAAAATTATTTCTTAAATTCAACTGCAAGGAAACCAAATTTAATAGAATATATCTTTTATATACATACATATAAGGGCTTATTTAAGGGAGAACTGATTAGTTTGTGGTAACCATGAGATCCGATCTCAACCACAAATCAACAGATAATAAGAAATTTATAATTTTGAATTAAAATTTTAATGCAAACACATTTTAGATATTTTCTCTTATCTCTCCTCTCTTCTCTCTCCGTCCCCCATCCTCCGTAATCTGGCCTCCGGGCACCGTCCTCCGGTGATACCACTATGATACCTAAAAATATTGACTTTGTTAAACAAAAGACACAGTGATACCCAAACACATATAAGATGCATTGTGATATCACTGTGTTACATCTTCGATCGACCACACAAACGACCATATTGTGATACCCAAGCACATATAAGATTCATTGTGATACCACTGTGGTATCACCGGACGACGGTGGCCAGAGGCCGGTGGATGGAGACAGAAAAGAGGAGAGAAAATACCTAAAATGTCTTTGCATTAAAATGTTAATTCAAAATTACCAAAATTATAAATTTTCTAATTTACCTATTGATTTGTGGTTGAGATTAGACCTCACGGTTACCACAAACCAATTAGTTCTCATTTGATTAGGCTCCTATATACATATATATATATATACATATATATATACATATATATATATATATATACATATATATATACATATATATATATATATATACATATATATATACATATATATAGGGAAGGGTTCAAACGAGAACACCTTGATTTTACGAGAACGTGAGAACACTCATTTACTATAGACAATCACATGTGATACTATTATTTCATCACATATGATACACATGTGATACTAAATTAGAGACGCAGATGATTTTCGATGCGATATTGGTTGCGGACTAAATTGCTCTTACACCACTAAGCCCCTCACAAGTATTATCAAATGTGATAAGGGTGTTGTTGATATGATAATATAATTTATCAAGACCATCACATGTAATGCTAAATCATAGACGCAAACAACCTTTGGCGCGCCCTAAGTCGTAGAACACGTCGTCCACACATCACGGGGTCCCATTACGCATATTATCATATATGATAAGGGTGTTTTTGCGTTCTCGTAAAATGGAAGTGTTCTTGTTTGAACCTCCACCTATATATATATATATATATATATATA